TTTCATAATATTTTACTTGACATTTGGAAGGCACCATTCGCTATTCCAATGCGTGTTCGAATTTCGGTGTCACACTTTCTGTGTTTTAACACAAAGCTGCTTTCGGCAAGAATAACGCAGGATTTTTTTTTCCTTTTTTTGTCACTCGGGTGGTCTGATATATTTACCTGAACTTTCACCAACCAATTACTATCATACTTATTATAAAACCCAGGTTGTGTTTGTGTGTGTCTGTACGTTTATATATTGGATCGGATTTCCTACATTTTTCAACCGATTTCAACAAAACTTCAGGGGACTACGTAAAATTACCTTGCGGTGGTTCTGACAGCGCCCAAAATTGGAAAAACACAATTATTTTTGCACGAAATCAATTTGAAAACACGATTAAGAGGCATCGCGAGAATGAAAGGGGGACAACTCATATCGAGTTATACTTATTAATAAACCCAGGTTGTTTGTTTGTGTGTGTGTTTGTGTTCGTTTCCTGCATTTTTCAACCGATTTCAACAAAACTTCACTTTTTTTTTGGCAGGTAGTGTTTCTTATTGTCTTGCACACTTTTTTCTTTATTTTTACATTCAGAATGCTTAAAAAATTCCATTTACAAGACAAGTGTTTATAATAAAATTCTATTCAATCGGTAGACTCATAACGATTGAAAACAACGTTTTTGTTTGAGTTTGGGTTTGACCAATTCGTAAAAAAAAAAAAACTAATTAAGACATGCGTGTCCGTCAACCTTAAACAATAATCTTTGTCAATTTTATTTTTCAGTCTTTATGATGGTCGATACTTGATCTATCTGTTACATTCCCGGGCAACGCCGGGCTCTATTGCTAATAGGGCAAAATTATCCAATGAAAACCGGTTTCAAGAATTTGGCGAAAACATTTTCACGTGAAAATCTGCTCAACGTTACTAAAATTTTATCGAAGAGCTACCTGATAAGCGACAATTGAGATTGAAGAATTTTTCAGTCACATTAGTCATCACCAGTTCTCAACGGTTGTCACACGTCTTTCTGAATTTACCGCTTTTTTTACTGGGTACCCTGTAGAATTGAATAAAATGGATTTGTACTTCATTTTTTTTTTTGAAGAGCAAAATTTATTAACAAAAACGGAAATCGTTTATGACTCAACCTAATAAGGCTCTTCCGCTTAGGTTAATGACTAGCTAGGCTAATCTGGTTGACTGATGAGTAGTGAGTTCGATCTTCACTTGGTGTCCATTAGAAAACTGGACATTAAATAACCCGACACTTGCATACAGGGTCTCTCTGTTTATTTTTTTCATGGTATTTTTTTTTTCGAATAAAACATTGTGCATCCAAAGTTTGGTTAAACTGTGAAAACTTCATTTTTTTTTTAATTCGGTTTCTGTTCAAGTACTTTCGACCGTCACAATCATCGAGAAATTAATATTGTCATTACGATAGACAATATTTTGTTGGTTACATTCAGACATTTCTGAAACGCTGGAATTCACATTAATCCAAATATACACATATCGTAAAAGTGATACCATGTATAAAACATTTTAACTATTATTACTAGTATTTGCACATATTAATAAACAATTAAACTAACGTAACCTGCACAAGTTTTTTTTCAACCAATTCACTCCAAGCAAGGTTTTAAAGCCACTAAGATACAAGGGTTCACTAAGTGTGAAAGAATAAGAAAAAAAGATTAAGGAGAGAGAACAATAACAGAGAAATAATAAAAAGACACAAGATAACGATTGACCTTGAATTTAATTTTTTGAAGATCAAATTTAGCTGGAAAGCATGGAGTCGGAAAAGAGTTCCACAAGCAAGAAGTGCGAGAGAAGAAACTGTTAGCATAGAACTTACGGTTGCGTCTAGCCATTTAAACTGAAAAATGATGAAACCTTGCCGCCAATTTAGTACTGCTCTTGAATTCGTAAAGTCTAGGTACCGTAACGAAGAATTCACCCGAACAATTACTATGGAAGTTTTAATAGAAAAGGCACAGGGAAGCTACATTACGGCGGTTGAAAAATGGCTGAAGCCGAGACGATAGGTCAGGACCAATAATATTGCGGATTCTTCTAAGGAGACGAGCCTGTTATCATCAATCTATAGCAGATACCCTTAGAAATAACCATCACCCTGCGACAGGCGACATAGCTCTGTCTGCTCACCAGGTCCTATCAGAGAGGTCAGCAATAATTGAACAAACTACGCTAAGGAAGGGTCTCCGAAGACTGACTTGCTAGCTATCACTCTGCACGAAGCGATGGCTGCGACGAGGAGGAACCTGGTTGCTGATATTGATGTTTAATGCGCAATTGTTGGCGCCTGTTCCTTAATGAGTCTGTCATTTCTTTCTGGTTGCAACATTATCCATATTAACACGATTCCTTCTTAATCTTGTTAGTTATCATTAATGCAGTTATGACGCTTCGTTAATAGCACTAATCTAAGTAGATCGAATTGAGCCGTTGTTACTCTAATGTCTACCGCCAGAATTCTGCGTCTTGTTAACTCGAGTTTAAAAGCTCTTATTTATCAGTAATCAGATTTGAGCGAAACCTTTAAAAAGCATAATTTCCAAATGATATTAGTTTGACTGTTGTAAGATATTTTTCAAACCTTTCAACAATTTAGAAGACATTGAATAACGTGTATGCGTGCCTGTAAAATAATAACATCAAAGATGTCCTCACGATGATTCTATCCCATTATACAATAGTTGTTTATTATAAAATTAAGAAGTAGTTCTGTCGAACTCTACTTCGAAATTATTGACCCGAGGCTCTCTCTGTAGAAGCGGGGAATAATAAAAAGTTTATAGATTGAATATTTGCAAAAGAATCATGTTTCGAATAATGCCCGTTTATTTTCGTAAGCCTGATGTAATCTCCATGAAAATACTAATGATTAAAACGTTCCTTAACTAAAGAAAAAGTATCAAAGTTTATTTTTCTTAAATTGAAATTCTCGGATAGCAATTTCTTCACAAACTGGTCTAGAATATCATTTTGTTTTTCTTTCAAAGTGCATGACGAACGATATTTGACAAGAAAATTATCCTAAAGCCACAACACCCTTTAAAATGCATCCGACTTAGGCATTGATATTTGTGGCACGAGGGCGTAATCGATATTAATACAAGCAGAGTAAGTGTATTGGATGTGAAATGTGTTTTCTGTTCTGGTGGGTTTATATTTTCTACCGAAAAGTCGAATCTTCCAACAAGAAATGACAGAATATTTAGAATTCAGTGAACGTGCTGAACTATACTCTAAAATTACAAGTGTTTTTTGTGCCAGAAGGTATATATATATATATATATATATATATATATATATATATATCCGGTATTATTATAGATATTTTTATTTTACAAAATAGTGCTCAATGTAAATTTACAGAGTATTAATATTATAAATTAACTTTTAAAGTATGAGCTTTTTGTTACTATTGTTTTAACCATCAATTTTCAAAAATGGAAGTAAAACTTAGAATTTAATTTTAGATTAAATTGAAGACATTAGTTCCATTTCATTCGCTTGAGGATGAAATGGAACTGATGTCTTCAATTTAATTACAAAATTAAATTCTAAGCTTTCAGCTTCCATTTTTGAAACATGGTTAGAACTATGTAGCCAAAAAAAACATATTTTAAATCAGTTAATTTATAATATATATATATATATATATATATATATATATATATATATATATATATATATTTGGTTGGATTGATATGAGTTTATTTGACAAACTCACATCAATCAAACCAAATATGTTAGCTCAGTCTCTGATATTGAGCGCTTTCTAATAAGTACCGCGCATATAATATATAAATAATTATATATATATATTTATTTATTTGTTTATATTTATATACATACACTTTTCACGCACACACACACACATATATATATATATATATATATATATCAGAATGTAGATCAGATATGGATAGGAAATATGGATCCGATAAGATGATAAAATGAAATAAAGAACAAAGTTGGAAAGGAATCTCAATCTAACATGTTTCCCATTTATTAAGTCTTCATCAAAAACCGACAATAGACATGAAAAAGCAAAGAGACAGAGTAAAGGAATATTATGATTTTGGGTAGTTCTCATTGGTCAGACATGCGTCACGTGTATAAACGCAATAAATAATATATTATATATGTGTGAGGAACATTTAGAATGAGTTTGTGATAGTGTAATAGTGTTAAGTAAAGAAACACTTGTATGTGTAGGTCTATGTAGGACGGTAACGTTAGTTCATGTAAGTGTATAAGTGTGTATATGAGGGAAGTCTATAGATGTCACCCTCGTATTTTTGTCGGTGAAATATATCGATATTTTGCAAAATAATTTATGTGTTTGGATTTTTATATTCCCGTGTATGTGTGTATGTGTGTGTGTGTGTGGAGGGAAAGTCTGTGGTCGTCAATTCTGTGTGAGTTAGATTCATGAATAATGAATCTGTAGAAAAATGGTGATATGATGTAATGTTTTAAGCGAGTGCTTATAGTTGGTAGTAGTGTTATGAATATATTTTCAAAATATTTTCTCCTAAATTAGGCTGGCATTAATGAAATCAAAGTTATGTCCAACGTCGTTTCGGTGTAAAACGAGAGAGTTAGAATGTCACCCCCACGTAACTTTTTTTGCACTGCAGACAAAATTATCTGATAATTTCCGGCATTTGAAATGGTGTTTGGTTCATATCTCTTAATGATTATATCCTCAATTGTCTTGGAGGTGGTGGTAACGATCCTGGTGTTAAGGATGACTAATTCATTAGCGAGTTTAGTCGAAAGTGTCTTGGAGGTCAAGAATATGAATTTCGTGTAATTCTTGGGAGTATCTGTTTTTTGATTGTAGATATATATATATATATATATATATATATATATATGAGCAAACATACATACATATGTGTTTGCTTATCTATATATCTATCTTTTATCTATCACAATCCGTTCATTTTGTATGTTCATATTAGTATCTATCTCAATCTGTTCATTATCTATTCATATATCTATCTATGTCCTTTATCTATCTATCTATCTATCTATCTATCTATCTATCTATCTATCTATCTATCTATCTATCTATCTATCTCAATCAGTTCATTATCTCTCTCTCTCTATATATATATATATATATATATATATAGATAGATAATGAAAATTCATATTCTAAACCCAAACGGACATCAGAAAAAATATTTGAAGTATTGAAAGGAGAAATAAAGAAATGATCAAAACAGTTTTTAATGAAACTTGGATAAAAGAAATTTTGGTACCCAATGTATATATATAAAGCAACAAAATTTATATATATATATATATATATATATATATATATATATATATATATATATATATATGCATACATACTCTTCTCTCTTAAATATTACAAATCTTACTCTTCCCTCTTAAATATTAAACAATATATATATATATATATATATATATATATATATATATATATATATATATATATATATATATATATATATCGGGTCAAAAATAAATGTCTGAGATCTAAAGATGAATGAATAAGATCTAAATATAAATGAATAGGGTCGAAAGATAAATGAATATGGCCGAATAATAAATGAATGAGATCTGAAAATAAATAAGGTCGAAAAATAAATGAATAAGATCTAAAGATAAATGAATAAGATCTAAATATTGGAATAGGGTCGAAAAATGAATGAGATCTAAAAATAAATGATAAGATTAAGTATTTACTCTGGTCTTTTCTGTTACTAATCTTTAATATATGATATATTTCGAAAATATATTCTCACTTCGTTAAAGTAAGCCGTGTCAGAATAAAGAAAGAACCCGTAAACAAGGCTTGAACACCCATCCTATTTGTCGTCAACAATAAGATGATAGTAATTAAACAGTAATGCGTAATTAAAATACACGAATTAAAATGTCTGTTGCGAATGTAAACAAAATGTTCTAAAAGTCCCTAAAGGGTTATTTTTACTTTTTTTTTCTTTCTATTTTTTAAAATTTCAATTTACTTTTAATTAAAAGTCTTAAACCGTTTCGTATCTTTTGGGACAGTCTACCTCACGAAATTTATGGCTGCTTTTTTTATGCATATTTTTTTTATATTTTCTTCGGCTTCGTTTATGGTGCTTTTGCTCAGTTCCATCGGGAGGCTTTGCTCTTCTGTGTACGTGTTGGTAGGATGAGAATGAGAGTGAGTCCGATAGTGGTGTGCAAGGCGGGAAAAAATAATGCAATACTGTGTAGAGGGGTATTGGCAGGGTGACATTGCGAGAGTCTTTCAGTGACGTGTACTACGGCGCACATTTTTATGTCTTCCATTCGTCCGGTCATCTAATATTGCTGCCACATCTGTTACTAGCACTTTTGTTATGTATCAAGAGATTCTTGACAAAATCTAAAGAAGAATCGGCAACGTTATAGGTCTTGGCCTGGCATCGCAGCTTCCTTCAATTTCCCACCGCCTTAGCATATCTTCTCTTTGCCTCTTCAATATTTTCACGGTAGTTGTTCCTCGATGGCACTTCGATTTCACGAAGTTAACCGCAGTAATAGCACTTACGTGCGAATACCTTTGTGAAAGGTATGAATCCATTTCTTCTCTCAGAAGAGGACAGTATGGGTTCTATAGCTTTCTTGGCAACCAGTTTATCGCAGAAAGAAATGGCAACCTACTGCGGTAAAAATCTTCTGCCTCGTCAGTCATAGACCGAAAGAGACATGATCGTCCAAGCGTGTATCACGTATGGAACTTAACTGATTGAATATATTGATAGCTATGTCGCATCATTTCACTGTTGAAATTGTTAGTTTGAATCATATGTTTTTTTTTGGGGGTTGGGGGGGTTGGGGGGTTGGGGGGGGGGGGTTAACAGATTTTTTTCTCACACTACAAACTTGTGGAATGCTTCCGGCATTCCTGTCGACTACGATCTTCAAAAATTTAAATACAATGTCAGTTGTCATCTTCTGCCTATTTTTTTTATTGTCCTTACGATATTGAGTCAAGACACGAGGGTGTCATGTGGCACAAGGCCTTTTTAACGTGGGCATTCCGAGCCCGTGGGGTCGGCCAAAAATATGCCCATTGAACCCGTATAAACGGGTTCAGGGCCGGTTTACCTACCCAAAGGAGACTCCGCCCTTCGGCGTAGCCTCCTTCGGGTTCCTCCCGTCCGTAGGAAGAGAGTTCAACCGAGCAGTCTGTTCAAAAGTGAACGACTGACTCGCTTTCTTTCACTCTCAGTAACCCCTTGCACCCTAGTGGTTTTATTGCTTTGGTTGGGGTTGAAATGATTAAATATATGGACACGTGTATTGGCAAAATGATAGTTCAAAAGTCTTATCGCGGTGAACTGAAAGAAGGTACATTTCTATGTGTGGCTGTTGGGTGGAAGAGTGTGAAGGAGAGAAAAATGTTTTTGTCGCAAGTTAATTATACGCGTGTGTGTGTGTGTGTGTGTGGAGGTGTCTGTGTGTGGGGGTATCTGTCTGTGTGCGTGTGTGTGCGTGAATTGAAACCAAGTATGGTATACAATATATGGTATGTATAAAATCCGACGGAATAATTAATTAAGGAACAATTAGGAAATCGTTTATAAATTTACCATGTTTCGCTTTTATTTAAGTTTCATCAGAAATCGTTGCATAACTCATTTCCCAAAAATTCTCATGGAGCTTAAATAAAAGCGAAACATTTTAAATTTGTAAACCTTTCTCTATTTGTTCTTTATTTTCACATAACTAAAAATAGGATTCCATTTGATGGAGCTTGCAATAATCTATAAAGCAGAAGTAACAGATATTGATGGCAAGAATAAAACGAACATAAGATGTACTGAAGGTACTTTTAAATGTACGTGGTACAATCATAGGTCGTCATTCAAGCTAGTAAGTCTTAGGTGCTCTACCAAACTACATAACCATGTGTAGAATTTAAAGTAAAAGACAGTAGGGATCCAATTGTAAGCTGGAAAATTTTAAACAGGCGAAGCATTATAACAGCCACAACAATATTTACAACCTCTGCCAACAGGAAACATTAGCAATTATGACATTTCCGGATCCAAAGAACCTTTTCAATTAGAAATCCGAAGTCTTGAGTGCTTGCTTACATATTAAAAAAAAAAAAAAAACTTCTTAAGCACATATGAGTCTGGATAAAAAAAATATACATTTCAATTAATTTCCCACCGATGCATTTATAATACCCATGCTTCTTCTTCTTCTTCTTCTTCTTCTTCTTCTTCTTCTTCTTCTTCTTCTTCACAACCTCCTCCATCCTTTCTATCATACCCAACGTCGTGGCTTGTTTATTTATTTAAAAAAAAAATAATATAGCGTTTATTACTTTTTAAAAAATAAAGCGTTGGGAGGTCAATTGATAAAAATCGCCTGAGGATGCCGTAAGGTTGAAACTAAGGTAGCAGATTCAACTTATCTCCTGAATTTTATATATATATATATATATATATATATATATATATATAATTTTTAATACTTTTTCTTTATCTCCTGGGACTTTTTATTCATCTCTATATGTATTCGAAATTCAGACATTTTTCGCACCGAATCACATATGAAAGGAAACTTTTTGTCATACCGCTTTTTCCAAGATTAAAAATACAAATAATTGGTGACTGAGACTAAAAATTATCCACATATTATATTTGTTCTCTTCTTCTTTTTTTACCTTTCTTTTCTTCATCTTATTCTGTTTTATTTTGTTTCTCACATTTCCTTTTGTCGAATGCCGCCAGGCATTTACAATAGTGTAAAGTTAGAATAAAGTATTAATTTTGGAACAAACAAAAGGCGCATCGCATATCCGGGGAGACGATGGTCTGTATTCTATTTTGACTAGCTCTTATATGGCACAAGGCTACAATAATAGAGCACTGAATCATATTCGCTAACCTTTACCGACTTAGGGCCATATCAGATTAAAACGCTATTTCCCGTATGATCAATGAATTTAAGCAACGTCGAGTCTAGTCAGTACTTAGATGAACGCTTGGAAATACCAAGTGCTATAAACTTTCTTCAAAAGATTCTTATAATCTAAAAATATTTTATGGCTTTAAATAACCTGTAAAAGGTTCATAAGCCGTAAAAAATATCAGCTAATCAGTTTGACGATGGCACTACACAAGTGGAATATAGTAGGTAATCATTAAGCGTTGTTTGTCGTACAATCGGTTGTGAACTGGGGCAGGATTTGGCTGGTCAACTTTAACACCTCAAAAACTAAACTACTCTCTATTAATCACCATAGAGATCCGTCCCTGCCCCCCATTAGAATGTCTGATAGTCAACTTCCTGAGAGCAACTCCCTGCGTCTGCTCGGTCTCACGTTGACTGCTGACCTGAGATGGAACAAAACATTGAGTCAATTGTTTGTCCACCGCGAGGAAAGTTGGCTCTCTGTGCCGCGCCGGGAAAGTTTTTTCCCCGGAATCGATATTTCAAATATACAAATCAACCATTCGCCCTTGCATGGAGTATTGCTGTCATATATGGTTTGGTGCACCTTCTGTTTACCTCGGAGTTCTTGACAAGATACAGAGACGGATATGTAATCTAATTGGCCCTGATCTGGCGTCTCGTCTACAGTCACTCTCTCACAGACGCGCCGTCGCCTCTCTCGGTCTTTTCTACAAATACTTTCATGGCAATTGCTCCGATGAGCTGCTTTCACTGGTTCCCAGACTCCATGAATTCAAGCGCCCTATGAGGCTGGCATCTCGCTCCCACCTTTACACTGTAGAAACTTTTAAATGTAGCCGTCTCTTCTACTCCAATAGCTTCATATATCGCACCTCTCGCCTGTGGAACACCCTTCCCAATTACTGTTTCCCTAAGAGCTATAATCTCCAACTATTCAAATGTAATGTCAATCGACATCTCCAGTTACCTTGATCTATCCACTATCCTTTTCCTCATCCTTTCTTCTATCACTCCTATCTGCTCTCGCTCCAAATCTTCTGCAACCCCCTGCATCCTAGTGGCTTCACGCCTTGATCGGGGCGTAATGCTTAAAAAAAATTATCTAAGACGTTTGAATACAGAATTTGGAATCTTGTCAGTAGATAGAAGTTACTATCCACTTGGGGTTTTGTATGCGCGCATGCGCGTGTGTGTGATGCTTTTCATTTGTCTTTAATTATTCTTGCAAGAACGAATCGGTAAATGAAAAAAAAAAAAAAGAACTTTGCCGACTTAAGTGATGCATCGCTTCCAGCAATCTTTTGTTTTTACGGGGGACAAAACATATTCTCTGAAGTAAACGTCGCGATTGTAACTAATGATTTCTGGAACGTTCGAGAAATATTTTCCGAATGTCAAAACACCGTCTTCCCTTCCAAATGTAACAGTGCTAAAATACAAAATTAGTATTAATTTTAATCCATGGAGCTTCTCGATATAATTTTTCTAGTGATGAGCAAAAGTAGTTGCTAAATAGCTCCCCTGAGAGACTGAATACACAATTGAAAAGCCATTTATCGCTAATTTTATAATACATTGATTCTACTTCTTTGTAGGATAATTAGCAACCCTGTCTGGTAAACTATATTCTACTGAAGTGAATTTAGTCCTCACGTGTCTTGTCCTTGTGCCATACTAAGCTAACTTTAATAAATATTCCTAGCATAATTATTCACTGAATTTATGACCAAATGAGGGTAAGCGGCTAAGGAAGATTTTGTTGCGCCAATCTTTTAAATGAGGAGCCACTTCATGGAAAATCGGCATTTGAAATTCTGTTTTTTGGTTTTTTTTTTTTTTTTTTTTTTTTTTTACTATCTGGGTTTGAACATCAACGTACTTTATTATCAAGAAACCTACATGTACAAAGCAGCTGACTTACTGATTAGGCTACAAAAACCAACAGGTTTCAGAAATTAAACTCTAATCCTATAGATTATTTTTTTATTTTCACAATTCAAAATGAAGAAGGAACTTGAAGCAACAGAAATGTGATTCTACAGAAGGCTGATGAGAATCTCAAAACAAAAAAATATGTGAGCAACGACGAAGTTTTAGAGAAAATAAAAAAATACCCATATACTTAACGTCAGTAAAAGACAGTTGAGGTTTCTGGGGCACATAATGAGGAAAGAGGGCTTGGAAAATTTGACACTTCCAAGACAGATTGAAGGCGACAGGCACAGAGGAAAACAAGGTA